ATATCTTGTTTAAAGAATTCTTTCTTCTAAGAATATAACAATATTCTATATTTTCCTTAAGTGTTTGCTTTCCTTTCATATTTGGGTTTTTTAATAGAAATTTTATTTTGTTTATGGTATGAAGTAAGCTTTCTGTGAGAGTCTGTGTTTCTTTTTATCCCTTAGATAGTATCAAATCTTCATGAATGGTAGTGCAGATCTTACTCTTAAGAATTGTCTTAGCCGGGTGCTGGTGGCTCACGCCTGTAATCCTAGCTACTCAGGAGGCTGAGATCTGAGGATCGCGGTTCAAAGCCAGCCCGGGCAGGGGAGACCGTGAGACTCCTATCTCCAATAAACCACCAGAAAACCGGAAGTGGCGCTGTAGCTCAAGTGGTAGAGCGCTCGCCTTGATCTGAAGAGCTGAGGGACAGCGCCCAGGCCCAGAGTTCAAGCCCCACGACTGACAAAAAAAAAAAAAGAATTGTCTTAGCTAATTACCCACCCCCTTGGGCTCATGGTGTGGCCCCTGCTGGCCACCCCACCAAGGCAGCAGAAGGCCTTTAGCCACTGCCCATCAATCAATCATTGTCTTAACTGCCAGCCTCTCAAGACTGGGCCTGGATTAAGGTAGTGTGCTATTCTCCCCTTCTCTACTCTGACCTGCCCCACAAAGTGGATTTCCCCAGCGGGTCCCCTCATCCCTTGATCTCAAGGTCCTCTTCATGGTGGAAGTATATCCTGTATCTTTCCTTTGTTGTCCTTGGGGAGACCCCAGAGTGCCCCTCACCTTTCTCCAAAACCATCTGCTTCTATGTGGGTGGTGGCGATAGCTCTAGTTTATCATATATAATTTATATTTTTTCAATGTCATCATGAATGTAACCCCTGTGTAACTGTGAACAGCTCATGGCTTGGCTTGTGTGTATGCGTGTGTATATACGTGTGCATGCATGTGTGTGCATGTGTGACACTGTCATGTCTTGGGTAAGAGTCAGAGCTTGGGTGTAGAGAGGGAGGGAGGACACACATCCTTGAGTTTTCAAATAAAACAACCAGAAAATTTAAGAAAAAGAATTGTCTTAGCTATTCTTACTCTCTTTTATGTTATTTATGGTATCAATTGATTAAGTTTGGGGGGATAAAGGGGTTATATATATCCTGTTGGGTTATGTTCAATTCTATTGAAGTGAATCTGCAGATCAATTTGTGATAATTTACACAAATACAGTATTTTAATTACCACTAAACATTTCTATAATATATCTGTTGTTTCTCTAGGTCTTACCTATCTTTTGTTTAGACTTCTTCCCATTGCCTTAAATTGTTTTATTATGATTGTTGTCTTTTAAAATAATATTTTAAGTTGTTTGCTAGGGTAAAAGAATTTATTTTTTTTTGTTGGCTTTAAATCTAGACCTTCCTGAAATACTAGTAATTTTGAAATTTGTCTAGATTTTATTGTGCTTTTCCATATGGTTGTATTATGAAATGTAAGCATTTTGTTTTCTCCTTTTCAACTCACTATGAAAAAGTGATATAGTTCCATATCAGTACATACAAGATCTTCTCTAAAGTACTTGTATAAAGAAAAGAAACTGGGCTGGGCACCCATGGCTCAAGCCTGTAATCCTAGCTACTCAGGAGGCTGAAATCTGAGGATTGTAGTTCAAAGCCAGACCAGGCAGGAAAGTCTATGAGACTCTTTTTTTTTTTTTTTGGGGGGGGGGGGGGGGATCCGGTCATGGGGCCTAAACTCTGGGCCTGGGTGCTGTCCCTCAGCTCTTCAGCTCAAGGCTAGCACTCTACCACTTGAGCCACGGCCCCACTTCCGGCTTTTTTTCTTTTTGTTTTTGTGGTGCTGGGGAATTGAGCTCTACCACTGAGCCACCTTCCCAGCCCTTCCATGAGACTCTTATCCCCATTTAACTACCAGAAAACCAGAAGTGCGCTGTGGCTGAAATGGTAGAGTGCTCACCTTGAACTGAAGAGCTGAGGGACAGCTCCCAGGCCCAGATTTCAAGCTCCGTGACTGACAAAAAGAAAAGAAAAGAAGCTGGGGCTGGGAATTTGGCTTAGTGGTAGAGTGCTTGCTTACCTAGCAGGCACAAAGCCTTGGATTCGATTCCTCAGTACCATATAAACAGGAAAAGCCACAAGTAGCACTATGGAGCTCAGGGACAGTGCCCAGGCCCTAAGTTCAAGCCCCAGGACAGGTCAAAAAAAAGAAGAAAGGAAGAAAAGAAGCTCATGCCTGTAATCCTAGGTTCTTAAGAAGCTGAGATCTGAGGATGATGGTATGAAGCCAGCCTAGACAGGAAAAGTCCTGTGAGACTCTTTATCTTTAATTAACTACACAAAAACCAGAAGTGGTGCTGTGGCTCAAAGTGGTAGAATGCTAGCCTTGAACACAAAGAGGCTCAGGGAGCAGTGCCCAGGCCTAGAATAGTGTTTCTATTAATTTACCATTATATTCTTTTTTAATAAAAGAGGAATACTTATTTGGTCAATTGTGTACCCACACTGTAGAATAATATGCAACCATTTCTAAGAATATAGTTTGCTGGGTACCAGTTTCTCATGCCCGTCATCCTAGCTATCATCTGGAGGCTAAGATCTAAGGATCGCAGTTCCAAGCCAGCCAAGGCAGAAAGTCCCTGAGACTCAGAAAAAGCCGGAAGTGGCACTATGGCTTAAGTTGGTAGAGTGGTGCTAACCTTGAGAAAAAGCAGCTCAGGGACATCACCTAGACTCAGAGTTCAGGATGGGGGCTTGGAGGCGGGGGGGGGGGGGGGGGGGGGAGGGGAAAAGAATATAGTGATATAGAAAGATTTCCAAGACTATTAATTATAGAGCATTTATCATTTGACCTTATCTATGAATTGTATCTATATTTTAATCTAAGTACACGTTAAGAGGATAAATATGTTTATATGATGATTGTTACTTAGAGATACTTGAAGAGAGGGGAAGGCTCAGACTGGAGAGCGTCTTTACTTTGTGTATCCATATAGCATTAAAGGTTTTTTTTTTGGGGGGGGGGGGTTCGGTCATGAGGCCTGGACTCTGGGCTTGGGCACTGTCCCTCAGCTCTTCAGCTCAAGACTAGCACTCTACCACTTGAGCCACAGCACCACTTCCGGCTTTTTTCTTTTTGCTTATGTGGTGCTGAGGAATCGAACCCAGGGCCTCGAGCATGCAAGGCAAGCGCTCTACCACTGAGCCACCTTCCCAGCCCACATTAAAGGTTTTATGATAAAACTTCACTCGTGTGCTATTTCTGCAGTAAAGAAAGGAAAAAGTAGGTCAGGTGTGTTGTTGCACTAGGGAGACAGGCAGAAGGATTATGAATTCAAAGCCAGCCTTTGCAACATAGTGAGTTCTATCCAAACTCCATAGTGAGAAATAGGGTCATGGCTAAAGTGGTAGTGTTTAAAGCAAGCTGGAGGCCCTGAGTTCAATCCCTACTTTCACCAAAAAATAAAAAGAAGGAAAATTCTGGCCCAAGCATGTTAGATCACAGGGGTAATCCAACTACTTGGGAGGATTTTAGTTTGAGGGCTTCCCAGGCTAAAAGTTAATGGGATTGTGGATGCATACCAGTAATCCCAGCTACACAAAACATATAGGTAGGATTGAAGTCCAAACAAAAACACAGACCCTATCTGAAAAATAACTAAAGTAAAAAGGGCTGGATGCATAGCTCAAGTGATAGACTGCCTAGCAAGTGAATTCCAGTACAATGATTCCAAAACAGGGTGGGAAGGGGAAAGGAGAGAGAGGGAACGAAGCAGAAAATGAAAGGGGAAAAGAAGTGAGTGTTGATGGCTCTTACCTGTAATCCAGGCTACTCAGGATGCTGAGATCTGTAAACTACAGTTCTAAGCCAGCCCAGGGAAGAAAGTTCATGAAATTCTTTTTTCCAAGTAACCATCCAAAAACTGGATGTGGAGATGTGACTCAAGTGGCAAAATACCAGCCTTGAGTGAAAAGCTAAAGTCAGTGCCCAGGCCCTGAATTTAAGCCCAATACTAACAAAAGAAAAGGAAAGAGCCAGCTCTTTCTACTCAGGAGGCTGAGATCTGAGAATCATTTCAAAGCCAACTCAGGCAGGAAAGTCCATGAGACTCTTTTCTCCAAGTAACCACCAGAAAATTGGAAGTGGCACTGTGGCTCAAGTGGTAGAGCGTTCACCTTGAGCTGAAGAGCTGAGGGATAGTTCCCCGTCCCAGAGTGCAAACCCCACAACTTACAAAAGAGAAAGAAAAAAGAAAAGGAAAGAATTTCATCATGCTGTTAGGCACCGATGGCTCATGCCTGTAATCCTAGCTACTCAGGCTGAGATCTGAGGATCCCTGTTCAAAGCCAGCCCGGGTAGGAAAGTCCTTGAGACTCTTATCTCCAATAAACCATTCAGAAAACCAGAAGTGGTGCTGTGGCTCAAGTGGTAGAGCGCTTGCCTTGGGCTGAGGAGCTGAGGGACAGTGCCCAGGCCCAGAGTTCAAGCCCCATGACCGGCAAAAAAAAAAAAGAATTTCATCATGCTTGTTGATTGTTGGGAAACCATTAACTATTGCTCAGTGACGTTAAGAAGACATACCCTTAATATTACTCCCACTAAATAGAACTTAATACCACTGTCATTTCAGATCATTAGAAGATAGGGAAGAATCTCAGTTGAGTAGATTAAATATTGTGAGGTAGCATAGAAAGCCTTGTTAAGAAAGCAATTCCCCCACCAGCTTATTCTCTACAGGACTCCTTTGTCCCCTCTAAGTCTTGTCATACCTCAAACCCCTTATCTGTAGCTGTGGTAAAGAACGGATGGTTGAGAGGCTATAACAATTGGTATTTGGTCTTTCTATTCTTTTGCCTCTTAGGCAAATCTCAAAGCTGCTTAATTTTGGAAAAATTTGTATATGTGTAAGTAAACTTAAGGGATCATTTTAAATTTATAGACAGTTAATTATTGAGACACTGCAAGTTTGAAATATTAATTTGTATCATTTTTCCCCCCTTAGTTTCTGCCACTGCCTTCTACAAAGCACAACCTGTAATTCAGTTCATGTGTGAAGTTCTTGATATTCATAATATTGATGAGCAACCAAGACCTCTGACTGATTCTCATCGGGTAAAATTCACCAAAGAGATAAAAGGTGAATTCATTAGCATTTAGAAGAATATAACTGCAATGTGCATGGATATAACAGCCTGTTATTGGAAAAATTTTAGGATTAAAATGTGTTCATGTAATGTCACCAAGAAAAATATAGATCAGTTGTAAAATATAACAGTAAACTCATTGTTATAATGTCATAGGAAGTGTTTGAATGACGTACTGAGTAATGGAAATAGTATCAATACTAGGCAATTGTATTTTTCTTTTACTAACTGCAGGGATAAGAAGGTCTCATGAGAAAAGTCTTCTTTAATGCTATTAAAAAGTAGTAAGCTTACCTAAAAAATCTTGTTATTTTAAAACTGAAGTCATTCTTTAAAGCCGTTCTAATACAATGACTTATTTTTCTGAAATGATAGTGAAATTTTAAATTATATTCCTTTGGAAATTTATGAATATGAGGCTAGTATGTTCCTTGTGTTATTCTGGAGTTATAACAGCTATTTAATGTACATTCTGGAGGTGACTAGTGATCTTACTTAGTAGCTAAATTTGTACAGTGGTGTTGCATTGGATGTTCATTTAACTTCATCTCTGTAGAATCTCCTTAAAGTAAGGAAAAAGGAAATAATTTTAATGGTGTTCTAAAATTTATAGTTTATGTACATTTCCTCTTTTATAGTTTTAAATACATTTAATATACATACACAGTTTTATATCTAAGCCTGTATATGCTGTACTTTATCAGCAATTTAAAGAAGTGTTAAAGAGTAATTTGTGTTATGTGTAATTCTTGCCCTGTTCATGATTTTAGTACCTCATCCTCATGCAAGATGTGATTCCACTGCATTATTACATTATTTAGAGATGAAAAGAAATTTGATATTCTCCAATCAGAATGAATAGCATAAATTCTACTTTTATTAAATGTTAGTTCTTAAGTAGCCAGAGATGCTTTTTATTTTAGATTTTACCCATTTCTTGGAGATAAATTTCCAGCTTGTGATTTGAATGAAGCATTCAGTTTTGTTTATTAAATATCTGTCAGTCCCCTGAGTCAGTTAGAAAATAATTATATCTTGTTTGCTCCAGAAATCATTCATTTTTTGCCATTCAGTAACCATGAAAGAGGCAGTCATAAAACACTGAAAGAAAAAAATCCTTCCTACTTTGAGAATAAACATCCATCAATCTCAAGTAATTTAAATGCCAAAATAGGAAACTGTTAGCTGTAACTGTTTTGCAACCGTACCATTGTCCTTTGATAATCTGTATTAACTGTACAGTTAGTGTTGTCAGGAGCTTAGTACATTTCCTACCATTATATATGTGATCATCTAAGTGCCATGGTTTAATAGTGGAGTTGCTGCTTAGTTACCACCTCTGATATCATGAAGTCACTTACATTATCTTGCGGTAACTATGCAATCAACTCATATCACCACTCTATCACAGAAAATACAAGATGTACAGAACAAGGACTCTCCTGCTGCCCGAAGAGCATGGACTCGATCTTAACTTCAACTGCTCAGGGGCCCAAAGAAATGACTGAAAAAATGACTAGAAAGCATTATAAAGTTGATGTTATAGTGAAGGTAAAGCCAAGTTTATAGGTTAAATATTTATTAAAACCAAAACATTTTTGGTTGGATGGAGGGTTTGGGGAGGGACCTGGGCAGAGAATTATCTAGTCCATTTTTTAAATAATTTTGACTTTGTTAGCCTCTGGATTTGGGGCTAATTGTGAGGAGCCTGTGATCTTAGATTTGGGGTTGAAAATTTGCATTGGATCTAATTGACAAACCAAATTTTTTTTTTCTCCACTTGAAGTCAAGAAGGTTTAAAAAAAAAAGTAAAAAAGAACTTTAAAGTACATCATATATATTCTAGCCACAGTAACTCAAAAGAATAAAATTTTGTGTTCTATGCTATTTGGATTTAACTTTTAGCTTGCATGTGGAATTATAATTGATAGTAATATAAATTATTATAAAAATGTGTTTTTAGTATATTCATTTTATTCCAGTTGAACTTTTACCCAAATCTTTAATAATAATTTCTGGAGCGGCTTCTTTGTCCAGTAAGTTATATAGTTAGAAATATTAGGAAAGTATTTTTACAAACAGTAGAGAAAATATAAAAGTTACATATTGGATTTGCTTTTTGGTAAAAGCATATTTTATAGGCGTGTAGAACCTTATTAATATTTTTTTAAATTCAGAGAGACAAAACAGTTGCCTACTGGCTCAAATTACATACATTTCACTGTCTATACCCAAGACATGGTATTTTTTGCATGTTACTTTATTTCATAACTATTATTTCTTGTAAGATCTTCCTATGTATTTTCTAATCTCCTTTACAATATAATGGCATATTCAATTCTCTAGCTAAAATTTTAGTTTTATAGCAGTAGTTATCATCTTAAAAAAATTTCTTACTGATTTCAATTAGAAATAATTTTCAACAAAAACCCTTATCAATCTCATACAGGAACACTGTTCACTTACCATCTTAATTTGTATTGATATCTAGTAAGACAAGTTCAGTTACTATGAGTGGAGTTTGTATTTTGTACAACAAAGTAATTAGATAAAATAAATTATAACAAAATTAAGTTGTGATAGGGCTTATGAGCCTTGGCTCTGTTGACATTGTGGGCTGGATAATTCTTTGTTGGGTTGGGAGGTGGTGCTGTTCTGTGTATTATGGGGTATTTAGAAGTATCCCTGGCCTCTACACAATAGTTGCCAATAGCACCGCCCAATTGTAACAGCAAAAAATGTCTCCATAGGGGCTGGGAGTGTAGCTCAGTGATAGCGCACTTGTCTAGTGTTTGCAAAGCCTCAGGCTCGCCTCCCAGCTCCACCTGAAAAAAATATCTTCAGACATTACCAAATGATTTCTAGACAGGCAGTTTGTTCCCTAGTTGAGAACCATTGCACTCTAGGAATAAAAAGTATAAGGGGGGAAACTGAAGGAAAGGTAACTCTTGTCCAAAAGGAATTGTACTCATTATCTGCCTTATGAAATGAAACAACACCTTAATAATAACAAGAAATTATATACAGAGAGTAGTAAGCACAAATCCTGTCTGTGAACTAAAATTCATCCTCTATCCCTTCTTGACTTTTTACCCTTTGGAGTCTAGGGCATACTTTAGGAATGGAGATGATTTCTGTGACCAGGAGACATTCTCTACCAGGTCCAAAGCTGCACTGCCAATATGGCAGCCACTAACCAGGTGTTCACTATTTAAATTCGGTAAAATTAGCCAGGCATGGGCTCAATACTCAATACCTCAAAAAAAGTAAAAATTTTAAAAATAAAAGTTTTTAGTTTTTCATTTATGTACATAGAAATATGTTAGCACAGATGGAGAACAGTATCTCAGAATATAGTCTTTGACAGTACCAAAGAAAAATTGCCAAGAAAACACAAAGTTCAAAGTTCAATCCTCACTTAAAAAAATTTTTTTTTCATCCCAAAGAATTTTATCTGCTATGTATGCCAGGTTTCCTGCTCCATATCTGTAGTCCCAGCTACTCAAAAACCAGAAGTAGTGGTGACATTGTCTAAAAAGAAATGTACTCTTGCCAGGCGCCAGTGGTGCATGCCTATAATCATAGCTACTCAGGAGGCTGAGATCCGAAGATCATGGTTCAAAGCCAGCCCAGGCAGGAAAGTCCGGGAGACTCTTATCTCCAATAAACCACCAGGAAACCAGAAGTGGTGCTGTGGCTCAAGCGGTAGAGCACTCACCATGAGCTGAAGAGTGCAGGGACAGCACCTAAACCCAGAGTTAAAGCCCTATGACCAACAAAGAAAAAGAAAAAAGAAAAATGTACTCTTGGGCTAGGGATGTGGCTTAGTGGTAGAATGCTTGCCTAGCATTCATGTAGCCCTGGGGTCAATTCCTCAGTACCATATAAACAAAAAGCCAGAAGTAGTGCTATGGTTGAGGTGGTAAAGTGCTGCTAGCCTTGAGCAAAAGAAGCTCAAGGGCAATGCCCAAGCCCTGAGTTCAAGCCCCAGCACTGGACAAAAAAAAAAAAAATGTACTCTTGACCTAAGTAATTATAACCCCTCTGTACATCACCTTTATAGTAACAATTTAATAAAAAGGCACAGTAGGCAATTTTGCAAGACTCTGTCTTTAAGTGAAAAGGTCTGGAGTATCACTCAGTAGTAGAACACTTTTTAGCATACATGAGGCCCTAGTTTCAATACCTAGCACCACGCACACATTTAAAGAGACGGAATAAAGGGCTGGGAATGTGGCTTAGTGGTAGAGTGCTTGCCTAGCATGCATGAAGCCCTGGGTTTGGTTCCTCAGTACCACATAAACAGAAAAAGCCAGAAGTGGCGCTGTGGCTGAATTGGTAGAGTGCTAGTCTTGGGCAGAAGGAGCTCAAGAACAGTGCCCAGGCCCTGAGTTCAAGTCCCAGAACTAGAAAAAAAGGAGGAATAAAGAAGGAGGAAAGCAAGAAGGAAGATAGATAGATTGGTTGATTGCAGCTGATTTAAAGCCCATTTCTTCACTTTCCAGAGTTGGCAGGGGATCCTTGAACCCTTTAGGTGCATGAGTGCAGGGATCCAGGAATGTTTAAAATTATGTACTAAATTATGTGTATGTTCATTTTTAAATTTATTGCTTTCATCAGATTTTTAAAGGGGCCAGTGACTCCTAAGAATTTAGGGTTCACCTCCTTTAGGAATTGTTTTGGTTTTGAATTCTTTGATTTTTTTTTTAATAGTCTTTAAAAAGAGTCTGTGTCACTGTGTTATACTTCCTAAAAATAGTTCCTCCCACTTTCATTAGAAGGGTCCAATATTTTTTCTTTCAGTTTTATAAATGTTTGAAGGGCTTCCTTCTTGATTTTTTTTTTTTTTTTGGGGGGTCCGGTCGTGGGGCCTGAACTCTGGGCCTGAGCGCTGTCCCTCAGCTCTTCAGCTCAAGGCTAGCACTCTACCACTTGAGCCACAGCGCCACTTCCGGCTTTTTTTTTCTGCTTATGTGGTGCTGAGGAATCGAACCCAGGGCCTCATGCCTGCAAGGCAAGTGCTCTACCACTGAGCCACCTTCCTAGCCCCTCCTTCTTGATTTTTATGAAATTCCCATTGTTAGTGAAATGGCTGGACTATTTAAATGCTTTGAATAAACTATCTTGAGAACTACGAAAACTCTTTTACTCTTCTTTCCCTCTCCTACCATAAACACCTGAATTGATTTTAAAAATGAATTTTTTATTAATAGAGGAATTTTCTCAATCTTTGGGCTTTGCTAATTTTCTGATTTCATTTTTTAATAAGTGGAGCTTGATAGGTTTGACAGGTTTGAAATTAAGTCTAACATGATTGTAAGCATTATTGGCAATGTTATATCTAAAATTCTTTGTTAATATATTGCCAAGTCATGGATTTTCTGTCGAGAATTGAGTTTTTATAGTAATGAACAGGCTTGTAAATATAATCTGTAACCTCCATTTTTCTTATTGATAACAGGTCTGAAGGTTGAAGTGACTCATTGTGGAACAATGAGGAGGAAATACCGTGTTTGTAATGTAACGAGAAGGCCTGCCAGTCATCAAACGTAAGAAAAGCTGGTGTTTGTCAGAGCAGTGGTGTGAAGCAGCTTGCTCTAGGGCGTGAGTTGGGTGTGTCTCGTTGGCAATAGTAATGTAAGAGTTGTTCATGTTTGCTTTCCTTTCTTCCCAGTTTTCCTTTACAGTTAGAAAATGGCCAAACCGTGGAGAGAACAGTAGCACAGTATTTCAGAGAAAAGTATACTCTTCAGCTGAAGTACCCACACCTTCCTTGTCTACAAGTGGGACAGGAACAGAAGCATACCTACCTGCCACTAGAAGTAATGTATTTGTGTGCTTATGGATCTCTTCATGGTCATCACTACTTTGAGGGTTTATTCTGTAATCTGAACTTTATTTTTTTTTTATCATGGGGATTGAGCTTTATTGTGTCCCTCAGCTTTATTTTACAAGGCATTCTACCATTTGAGCCACCACAGTACTTATGGTTTTCTGGGAGTTAAGTGGAGATGATTGTCATAGACTTTCCTGCTGAGCTGCCTTTGAAACACAATCCTCAAATCTCAGCCTCCTGAGTAGGTAGGATTACAGGCATGAGCTACCAGCGCCCAGCTTGAACTATTTTTAAGATGATTCAAAATTTAATTCATTCTAAATTTCCTTAAGCAAACAAAAGATGTTCCTGTATCATCCTAACACTGTTAGCATTCTGATATACTTCTTTCAGTCTTTTCATCCCATGTACATTTTATCTAATTATAATCATACGGTAGTAGTTTTATTTCTCGCACTTTTTTTTTTTTTTGTTGTTGTTGGTTGGGGGCTTGAACTTTTGGGCCTAGGCACTGTCCCTGAGCTCTTCAGCTCAAGGTTAGCACTCTACCACTTGAGCCACAGAGCCACTTCCGGCTTTTTTCTTTTTGCTTATGTGGTGCTGAGGAATCAAACCCAGGGCCTTATGCATGCAAGGCAAGCACTCTACCACTGAGCCACCTTCCCAGCCCACAGCTCAAGGTTTTGAACCGTGATCATCATATCTCAGCCTCCTGAGTAGCTAGGATTCACAGGCGTGAGCCACTGGCGCCCAGCTGTCTTTGCTTTTTTACTTAACATAAAAAGGAGAGGTTTGATGAAATAGGTTTAATTTTTTTATTTCATGCATAGTTCTCATACATATACCTCAAAAAGATATATATGTGAAGCATGAAACTTTTTTTTTTTTTTACTGTGTAGGTATGTAACATTGTAGCTGGGCAGCGGTGTATCAAGAAGCTGACTGACAATCAGACATCCACTATGATCAAGGCAACAGCACGATCTGCACCAGATAGGCAAGAAGAAATTAGCAGATTGGTTAGTACTTAGCCCTAGAAATTTAATTTAAACATATTAGGGTGAGCTACTGTCTTTATCGTCTAATACCTTTTAGCATTTCATGGGTGATCAAAATGAAAAGAGATGTTGGATAGTGATATTTAATAGAGGTATAAGTAAACCTTAGTAAGTCATGAGAAGTCCTTCTAATTTAACCGTAAACATTTTCATTAGATTCAGGGACCTGATTCTGCCAGAACTAATGTTTTAATTTAGTTAATTGAAAAATCCACCTAAAAGAAGGAGGAGAAGATGTTAAGATATTGTAACTAGAAGTACTAGAAGTCTTAGCGATTGGTCTGAAATTCCTGTCTTAGTATCAGACTGACAGTCTGAATAATGAAATGAAGGACAACTTCACTAAGGGGAAGAGAGGAGAGAAATTACCAGAACCACCTTATAAAATGAGTTAACATTTCACAGTTTATATATATACATCAGAACATCATATTATGCTAAATAAAATCATGCAGTGCTATCTGTCCATATGAAAAATAAAGACATAAAACTAATAAGCAAATTTAAAAATAAAAGGACCTCCTGAAAAGGGAAGAAATGTGGAACTATGACTGTTGCATACACCAAAAAAAGTCTTTCAGAAGCAGTTTTAAAGATTATTGGAAAAGTGTTATAGAACTGACTTGTTCATTTTTGTAAGCCAATTACAAAAACAAAGACCTTTTTTTCTTATCATTTTGGAAAGAAGGAAAGGAAGTTATGACATAATCAGGGAAATGCTGTTCAATCATGATTCTTGATATTTCATTATTGATATCTTATTCTCAGTATTTCTCTGATTGTACTATAAAGTTGTAAAAGCTGTCCCAAGATCTTTAATAGACAAAGACAACTCCCTAACTCTTTTTTGGAATATGAAATAGTGGAGTTTTTATTACACAGTTAGCAGGCTTCAGGCAGCCCATTGTTAGAAAGGCCTGCAGCCTCCAAATCCTTAACACAGTTAGGAAACAGGCTAGAGAGAAAGAAAGAACAAAAACAATACCAACAAACCAATTCAGCTCCAAGGGAGAGCTAAATTGGGATGCCATGATTGGCAACGAGACAGGACACAGGACAGGATCACGGAGACACGTAGCATGGTGTCCATAACTCTTGACTAGTAGTTGTAATTCATTTTTACAGCTTAACTATTTAGGAAAGTGGTAGTTATAGTGCTTAAAATAATTGGCTTTATGGGGAGGGAGGAAGTGAGAGAAGAGTTAAGGGAGTATAATAGAGGTTGGACCTATTCAAAGTATAATATGCATCTACAGAATAACAACTGCTTCTGTGCTCATAAGTAAAGAAAAAAATATAGGCTCTGAGCCAAGCATGCCAATACATGCCTGTAAATCCCAGCACTTGTAGGGCTGAGGCAGAAGGATTTCTAGTTTAAGACAAACCTGGGCTACATAAGGAGACCCTGTTTCAAAAAAGAAAAACAGACTTTGAGTCCAGGTATGCTACCCTAGGTTTGAATAAACATCTTGTTTTTCCACTAGTCATTTGCTTTACTAAATCATTTAACTTTTCTAAGCTTTAGTTTTGCCCTATGTAAAATACAGGTTATATAAGAGCTACTTTTTTTTGTTTTGGTATTACTAGGTTTGAACTCCCAAGTCTTGTGCTTACTAGGCAGGTGCTTTACTGTTTGAGCCACACCTCCAGCTCTTTTTGCTCTTGTTTTTGAGACTGGGTCTTGCTTTTTGCCCAAGCTGGCCTGGACAACACTCATCCTATTTAATATCATCCCACCATAGCTGGGATGATAGTTACGTACCACCCCATCCAGCTTTTTTCTCTTGAGATGGTAGTTTTACAAACTCTTTTTCCCAGGCTGGCCTAGAATTGTCTTCTTCCCAGTGTCAGCCTCTGTTGTAGCTGAGATGACAGGTATGTACCGCAGCACACAGCTATTTGTTAAGATGAAGATTTGTGAACTTTTTGCCTGGGATGGCCTCAAACCACAATCTTCCTGATCTCTTTTTCCCCTGTGTGGCTGGGATTACATGTATGATCTACCAGTACCCAGCTCAAGTCCTACTTTTATGGCATATGATAACTGTGAAAATGTTAAACACTTAAGCCAAGCATGTCTTGGTAATTATTACATTTTATAATCTTCCCATCAAGCTACACTAAGACATCATAACAGATGAAGGAGAAAAAAGGATAATACTGCCTAATTTAGAAAAGGCTTTTCCTGCTTATTGTGGAAAAAATCCTGTTTACATATTTAAATTATGCAGTTTTTTTTGTTTGTTTGTTTGTTTTTTGGTCGGCCGTGGGGCTTGAACTCTGGGCCTGGGCGCTGTCCCTCAGCTCTTCAGCTCAAGGCGAGTGCTCTACCACTTGAGCTACAGCGCCACTTCCAGTTTTCTGGTGGTTTATTGGAGATAGGAGTCTTACGGTCTCTCCTGCCCGGGCTGGCTTTGAACCGCGATCCTCAGATCTCAGCCTCCTGAGTAGCTAGGATTACAGGCATGAGCCACCAGCGCCCGGCTTAAATTATGCAGTTTTTAATGAACTGTGCACAGCTTTGAATACCCTTCTCTTTTTTGTCTTGTTTGACCTTTACCCTGAGAGCAGGTGAATGTGTTTTGAAAACAGCTATCATAGTACATGAACATGGAAGATCCAACACTGAAATATAATCATTTTATTTACAATGTGATAATATTTATCTGAAAACACTGGAGTACATTTTATATAAATTGTAAGTCAATGACTTGTAATGTTTTCTATCAAGTTTGCATAAAATTGGTAGTAAATGTCTGGATTCTCCATAATTAAAGGTTCTTTTTTTTCCCCCCTGCCCTGTGGAACTGGGGATTGAACCCAGGGCCCTGTGAATACTAGACAAGCACTCTACCACTGATCTACATCCCGCCCAGTCAGAGGGTCTTAACCTTTTTTAGGTGAGGTATTTCTCTCTCTCAAAACATGTTATGTTTAATCATTTTAAAATACCATTTTCATCTATCAAAAATAGTTGATTTTTTTTATTTTTCAACCCAACACATACATTTAAATTTTGTATAAAATAGCAGGGTATTCACTTCCTCCAGTCCATTCATGATGCATAATTCCTCAGGCTAATATTCTCTGCTCTATTATTTGGGCACCATTGATTAGAACTATTATAAAATATACAGTTGACATAGTGAAAAAAAGAAAGAGGTACTAAAGTAAAGTATGAGATCTGGGGGAATTTTGAGAATAACAGCAAACTTTTCTGTTGTTAGGTTCGGAGTGCAAATTATGAAACAGACCCATTTGTTCAAGAATTCCAATTTAAAGTTCGGGATGAAATGGCACATGTAACTGGACGAGTACTTCCAGCTCCAATGCTCCAGTATGGAGGACGGGTAAAGACTTTTGATGTTTACTTCTGCACCTGTAGTTCACTGATTATAGGACAAGGGCATCCTAAGTAAGTCTTGAGTTTAGACCTTTTTTTTCCTGCCATTCCTGGGGCTTGAACTTAGGGGCTTGGCATTGTCCCTGAGCTCTACCACTTCAGCCACATCTCTTCTACTGGCTTTTTTGGTAATTTATTGGAGATAAGAGTCTCATAGATGTTGCTGCCTGGGCTGGCTTTGAACTACAATCCTCAGATCTCAGGTCCCAGCTAGGATTACAGGCATGAGCCACCAGTGCCTGGCTAGACTTTTTTTTGGTTGTTCTAACAATATAGCTTGTTACAAGGTGTCTTTGTTTTTAGTTTAATAGAATTTTGGGGTTTTAATGATAAAAGTATAAAATTGATTCCGTCACTTCCATGTAGAGTATCAAATATATCAGTTTAGCAATCTGAAATACTTATTTTCAGCTCACTGAAATAAACATGTTAAGTTTTTCCTCTTTTTTTCCATGTTATTCCCCTCTCTCCCACAGAATCGAACAGTAGCAACACCAAGCCATGGAGTATGGGACATGCGAGGAAAACAATTCCACACAGGAGTGGAAATCAAAATGTGGGCTATAGCTTGTTTTGCCACCCAGAGGCAGTGTAGAGAAGAAATATTGAAGTAAGTTATGCCATTGCTTTGGTTTGAGAACATTTTTTGTGTTTATATTTTTGTTCTTTAGTGGCACTGGAGATGAATCCAGTGCTGTGACTATACCATAGGCAAGTACTCTGTCACTGAGATCTACCCTAGCTCTGTATTTAGATATTAAATTACTTATTATATTTTAACAGATACTGCCTCAACACGGAATATATTAATCACTGAACCTTTTTGTGTGTGTGTGTGTTCTAATTTTTTTTTAATTGTGAACATACTGTACAGAGAGGTTACAATTACATGGGCAAGATAATGAGTACATTTCCTATCAAGCATTGTAGCCTCCTCCTTTGTTTCCCCTTCACATCCCTTTCCAGCCTCCCCCTGCCCCTCCTCCAATGCTCCCCCCTCACTGAACCTTTTGAAATGCATCTTCATCCAGCTAGGCAAATTGGTGGACACCTATAATCCCAGCTACTTGAAAGGCTGAAGCCAGAAGTTCAAGGCCACCCAGATAACTTAGCAAGACCCTGTCTCAAAAATAAAAATATTAGCTAAGGATCAGTGGCTCACACCGCCTGTAATCCTAGCTACTCAGGAGGCTGAGATCTGAGGATTGCGGTTCAAAGCCAGCAGGAAAGGCCAGTGGGACTCTTATCTACAATAAACCACTCAGAAAACCGGAAGTGGTGCTGTGGCTCAAGTGGAAGAGCACTCACCTTGAGCTGAAGAGCTGAGGGACAGCTTTTGGGCCCAGAGTTCAAACCCCATGACCGCCCCCCAAAAATAAAAAAAGCCCCTTGAGAGTCTTATCACCAATTAACTACCCAAAAACTACAGGTGGAGCTGTGACTCAAAGTGATAGAGCACTATCCTTGGGCAAAAGAGTTCAGGGGCAGCACCCAGGCTACCCCTGCAACAGACAATAAAATAAAAAGGCTTTTAAATTGTTCAGAATATAGCTGAGTAATTCTGGGTTAACTTCTAGTACCTCTAAAAAAAATTTTTTGATTCATGTTTCTGGACAATTTGAGCAACTAGCTTTGTAGTATAGCTTTGTAGTATATAGCAACATTGCCATTTTTCTTTTTTAATGGTACTAAAGATTTAACTTAGAGCAAGCACTCTCTACCTCTTGAGCAACCCTCATTGCTTTCATTAATTTTTAAATAGAGTCTCATGATTTTTCCCAGGCCAGCTTGGACTGTGTGATACTTTTGTTTATGCTTCTTACAACTGGGATGACAGACAAGTGCCAGGAGGTCCAACTTTATTACTTTATTACCAGTTGATGGGAACCGAGGCTGATTCCACAGGAGCCTGGCTCCTGTGAATAGTGCTTCAATAATCATGAGTGTGCAGGTCTCCCTCTTGAATGTTGGCTTATACTCCCTTGGACATATACCTGAAAGTGGCATTGCAGGGTCATTTGGTAGGTCTATCTTTAGAGGTTTTTTTTTTTTGTTTTGTCAGTCGTGGGCCTTGAACTCTGTGCCTGGACGCTGCCCCTCAGTTCTTCAGCTCAAGGTAGCACTTTACCACTTGAGCCACAGTGCTACTTCCGGTTTTCTGGTAGTTAATTATAGATAAATCTCATGGCCTTTCCTGCCCGGGCTGTCTTTGAACCATGATCCTCAGATCTCAGCCTCCTAAGTAGCTAGGATTTGCCTAGCCACCAGTGCCCCACTTCGTTAGGGTATTTTTTTTAAACTCCATACTAATTTCCATAGTAGTTATACTAGTTTGGGTTGTGTGAGAATTCCTTTCTCCAACGTCCTTACTAGCATTTGTTGTTTGTTTTTATGATTGCCATTCTGACTGGAGTGAGATTAGAACTTCACTGATGAATGTATTCATTAGCCATTAGTACTTTTTCTTTTTTTCTTCTTTTTTTTTTTTTTTTGGGGGGGGGTCCGGTCGTGGGGCCTGAACTCTGGGCCTGGGCACTGTCCCTCAGCTCTTCAGCTCAAGGCTAGTGCTCTACCACTTGAGCCACAGTGCCACTTCCGGCTTTTTTCTTTTTGCTTATGTGGTGCTGAGGAATCCAACCCAGGGCCTCATGCATGCAAGGCAAGTGCTCTACCACCGAGCCACCTTCCCAGCCCCTAGTACTTTTTCTTTTGACAACTGTCCAGTTCATTTGCCCATTTATTAATTGGATTATTTATTCTTTTTTTTTTCTTTTTTTTTTTTATCAGTCGTGGGGCCTGAACTCTGGGCCTGGGCTCTGTCCTTCAGTTCTTCAGTTTTTCAGCTCAAGGCTAGCGCTCTACCAACGTGAGCCACAGCACCACTTCCGGCTTTTTCTGCATAATTATGTGGTACTGAGGAATCAAACCAGGGCCTCATGCATGCAAGGCTAGCACTCTACCACTTGAGCCACAGCGCCACTTCCGGCTTTTTCTGCTTATGTGGTGCTGAGGAATGGAACCCAGGGCCTCATGCATGCAAGGCAAGCGCACTACCACCGAGCCACCTTCTCAGTGCCTTATTCATTCTTTTGACGTTTTAATTTTTTTTTTTTTTTTTAGTTCTTTGTGTATTTAGGGTATTAAACTTTTCTCTGTTGAATATTTGGCAAGTATTTTCTCTTACTGTTTGGGTTGTCCCTCGAGTCTGGTCATTTTTCCTTTGATATTTAGAAGCTTTTTATTTTATGTAATCCCATTAGTCAATCCTTGCCCTTATATCCTGGGCAATTGAATCTTTAATCAGAAAATATTTACCTATCCCCCTGTCTTCCAGTGTTATCCTTATGTTTTCATGTAGTAGTTTTAGTGGTTTCTCCTTGTAGGGGTTTCACGGACCAGCTGCGTAAAATTTCCAAGGATGCAGGGATGCCCATCCAAGGTCAGCCTTGTTTCTGCAAATACGCACAGGGAGCAGACAGTGTGGAGCCCATGTTCCGGCATCTCAAGAACACCTACTCAGGGCTGCAGCTCATTATTGTCATTCTGCCAGGGAAGACACCAGTATATGGTAAGCGTGTCTTAAAACAGCATTTTTCAGGGATGGGTGTATAGCTCAGTGTTATTGTATTTGCCTAGCATGTTCAAGGGCTCTGGATTCAGTTTCCAGCACTGTAAATAAATATGTGCGTCCATGTATATATGTATGTGTATATATTACATTTTGGCATATTTACCTTAGGATTTCAAATCCTAAAGCTTTCAAATACTAATACACATTTTATGCTGTACTATTTCAAATCATATATTATTACTTTTAGATAAACCTGTAAGATAAATAGTTCAAAGAAGACCCTTAGAAATTCAAACCCCAGCCGGGCACTGGTGGCTAATGCCTGTAATCCTAGCTCCTCAGGAGGCTGTGATCTGAGGATCACGGCTCAAAGACAACCCGGGCAGGAAAGGCCCTGAGACACTTATCACAAGTTAACCACCAGAAAACCAGAAGTGGCACTGTGGCTCAACTGGTAGAGTGCTAGCCTTGAGCTAAAAAGCTGAGGGGCAGCACCCAGGCCCAAAGTTCAAGGCCCATGATCGACAAAAAAGAAAAGCAAAAAGAAATTCAAGCCCCAGAATCACAAAAGAGAGAGAGGAAAAGATCCTTAAAAAAGAGGGTTTTTTGTGTGGGTTTTTTTTTTTTTTGGGGGGGGGGGGGGGTCTGGTCATGGGGCCTGAACTCTGTGTCTGGGTGCTGTCCCTCAGCTCTTCAGCTCAAGGCAAGCGCTCTACCACTGAGCCACCTTCCCAGCCCAAAAAAGAGTTTTAATAGCTAAAACAGACATCAGAAGACAGTGATTTGAGAAAAGTTATTTAATAAAAATGGTGTTGAGGAGCTGGGAAGATGGCTCAGTGGTAGAGCGCTTGCCTTGCAATGCATGAGGCCCTGGGTTCGATTCCTCAGCATCACATAAGCAAAAAGAAAAAAGCCGGAAGTGGCGCTGTGGCTCAAGCGCTAGAGCGCTAGCTTTGAGCTGAAGAGCTGAGGGACAGCGCCCAGACTCAGAGTTCAGGCCCTACAACCGGACCCCCCCCCCCAAAAAAAATGGTGTTGAGATAACTTGAGTGTCCATATAATGTAGGTTAAAAGCACAGACTGGAGTTAACCTGTGTGACTAAGTATCAGGTATTGTCCAGATGTACTGCTTGTGTGGTGCATCTGAATAAACTAACCATACTAAGCTATAATTTTCTATGGAACTAATAATATCTAACCTATATATGATTAGAAAACAAAATAATATTCTGTGAAACAATAAATTAAGTATAAATCACTGGGTATTGGGAAAACATAAACAAAATGCAACTTTAAAACAGCTGAATGGAGAAAAATAAATTTCTCTAGAGAGACAGAAGGGGTCTGAGACTGTAGCTTAGTGCTAGATCACTTGCCTGACATGCACAAGGCCATAGGACAGTTTACAATACCCCACACACATACACACACACTAGAAAAAAAATCACTAAGAAAACTGTTAAATTTGACCACATAAATTTTTTGTGTTTGTACTGGGGATTGAACTCAGGGCCTCTTGCTTGCTAGGGCAAGTACCCTACCAGTTGAGCCTTGTCTCTAGCCACTCTGCTTTTTTTGTTTTTTAAATACTGCTCCTGGGGCTTGAACTCAGGCCCTGAGGGGCAATACTTGAGCCTTTTTTGCTCAAAGTTGGCACTCTACTACTTAGCCATAGCTCTACTTCCAGCTTTTTTTTTTTTTTTTTTTTGTCCGTTGTGAGGCTTGATCTCTGGGCCTGGGCGCTGTCCCTTAGCTCTTCAGCTCAAGGCTAGCGCTCTACTACTTGAGCCACAGTACCACTTCCAGCTTTTTTTGTTTATGTGATATTGAGAAATCAAACCCAGGACCTCATGCATGCATGGCAAGCACTCTACCACTGAACCACTTTCTCAGCCCCCAGCTTTTCTTTTTATGTGTCATTAATTAGAGATAAGTCTCTTGGGCTTTCCTATCTGGGCTGGCTTTGAGCTATGATCCTAAGCCTCCTGAGTAGGTAGAATTATAGGTGTGAGCTACTGGCACCTAGCTTGTTTCGATTATTTTCAAGGGGAGGTTTCTTTCAATTTATGCCTAGGCTAGCCTGGGCTTTGATCTTATGCTCCACCATGAGGATGACAGGCATGCATGTGCCACAAAGCCTAGCCATTGTGCTTCCCCTGCACATGGGTAACAGGTATATGCCACTGTACTCAGCTATTGGTTGAGCTGGAGTCTTTCAAACTTCTTTTTGCCCAAGCTGACTATGAACCATAATCCCCTTGTTAGCACTCTAGTAGCTATGATTGGAGGTGTGTGTGTGTGTGTGTGTGTGTGTGTGTGTGTGTGTGTGTGTGTGTGTGTGTGTGTGTGTGTGTGTGTGTGTGTGGTGTGTTTGCAGTACTTGAGATTAAATTTATGACCTTACATTTGCTAAGTGCTCTAAAACTTGTGTCATGCCCTAATCTTGCATTTTTTGTATGTACAAAGAATACTCAGTATACATATATGATAAAGGAAGTAGGAAATATGAAATGAATCTGGGGAAGGAAACATATGATAGGGAGAATCATGGAAGGGGTAACTGATCAAGAAGCACCTTAGACATGTTAAATTGTAACTGCCTTATACAACCTTTTGAAATTTAGAATAAAATTACAGATTAAAAAAATATTCTTTAAAAAACTTCTAAAATTGGTCTGGGAATGTGACTTGGTGGTAGAATGCTTGCTAGCATGCATGAAGCCCTGGATTCAATTCCTCAGTACCATATAAACAGGAAAGGCTAGAAGTGGTGCTGTGGCTCAAGTGGTAGAGCACTAGCCTTGAGCAAAAAACACCCAGGAACAGTGCCCAGGCCCTGAATTCAATCCCCAGGCCTGGCAAGAAACAAACAAGAAAAAAAATTGCTAAAATCGTTGAACACTGGTGGCTCACATCTGTAATTCTAGCTCCTCAGGAGGCTGAGATGTCAGCATTAAGGTTCAAAGCCAGCCTGGGTAGGAAAGTTTGTGAGACTCTTATCTCCAGCTAGTCACCAGAAAACTGGAAATGGCTCTGTGGTTCAAAGTGGTAGAACACTAGCTTAGAATTCAGGGACCGTGCCCAGACCCTGAGATCAAGACCTATAACCAACAAAAATAAGTAAATAAATACCTGAAAAAATTTAAAATAAGTAAAGTACAGTATGTTCAAACATTTTTGTAGTGATTGAAAAAAATAAGTATAGAATTCAAAAGATAGGTTTTGATAAAATACAGAGAACTATTTTTTTAATTCAAAGAACTTGCAAATCAATAAGAAAAGATAACCCCACTTAAAAATAAGAAAAAAGATAGAAAACAGATAATCATCTTATAAAACATGCTCAGCAGTATTGGTCATTGAAGAAATATTAACTAGGGGCTGGGAAGGTGGCTCAGTGGTAGAGTGCTTGCCTTGCATGCATGAGGCCCTGGGTTCGATTCCTCAGCACCACATAATCAAAAAGAAAAAAGCCGGAAGTGGCGCTGTGGCTCAAGTGGTAGAGCGCTAGCCTTGAGCTGAAGAGCTGAGGGACAGCGCCTAGGCCCAGAGTTCAGGCCCCACGACCAGAACCCCCCCCAAAAAATATATATATATTAACTAGGCTAATATAGGGGTTGATGTCTGTAATCCTAACTACTCAGGAAACAGAGATCAGGAAAATTACAGTTCAAAGCCAGCCTGAGCAAAAAATTCACAAGACCAGAATCTCAACCAGTTTAAGCTGGATGTAGTGACACATCTGTCATCCTAGCCACAGTAGGAAGCTGGCTGGGGCAAGAATTCAAGACCCAGAGTGAGCAAAAGGGGTCAGTCTGATTAAAGTACAATATATGCATGAGAAATACCAGAGTGAAACCCTGTTAACATATACATAAAAAGTGAATGACAGGAATGTTGAACAGATCCTATCCAGACCATGTGTCCTAGTGAGAAGTGGACTGGCTACATATGGAGATAAGTGAAGGAATATGAACTTGGTCAAAATACTTTATGTAATGCATAAAAATGGAACACTGAAGCTTATTGAAAATAGTTTTGGAAGAAGGCAGGAGGGATGAGAATGAAGAAATGGGTAAGTCCGATCAAAATACATTGTATGCATATATGCACTATCCCTCAGCTCTTCAGCTCAAAGCAAGTGCTCTACCGCTTGAGCCACAGTACCACTTCCGGGTTTTTTTTTTTCCTAGTGGTTTATTGGAGATAAGAATCTCATGGACTTTCCTTGCCAAGGCTGGCTTTGAACCGTGATCCTCAGATCTCAGCCTCCTGAGTAGCTAGGATTACAGGCGTGAGCCACCAGCGCTCGGCTGACTTTTTTTTTTCTTATGATGAAGGAAGGAACAGTGTTTTTCCTCAGCTGGTTAAGTTCATAGTTAGGACAGACTACTGCAAACAAGATAGACTATCAGCAGAACAGCAAGATGCTAATTTGTGCAGTACACACACAGCAGAGGACTGTCTCAAAGCAGTGGCTTAGGAGTCTGCTTATATAGTATATATGACATGGAACAAAAAGTTTTAGAGAAGTGACTGATCCAAAAACAAAGGGAAAGCATTCACAGGATTCAGCATGGGAAACTGGGAAGGTAACTATGGTAAATACTAAAGTTTGCTTACAGATGCCTCTGGAATCTTTTATGAGCTGATATGGAATATAAGGGAAAATTTACATTCCATCTTTAGGTCAGAAAGGTGGGGCAGGATAGAATGGCCATCTGTCTTTGTAAAGCTATGTCTTTTATATCAGAGAAAGAAAGCAGAGAGCCCCTCTGTCTTAGTTGTCTTTATTTCAAGAATCCACCCCAGCCGGGCGCTGGCGGCTCACGCCTGTAATCCTAGCTACTCAGGAGGCTGAGATCTGAGGATCGCGGTTCAAAGCCAGCCCGGGCAGGAGAGACCGTGAGACTCCTATCTCCAATAAACCACCAGAAAACCGGAAGTGGCGCTGTAGCTCAAGTGGCAGAGCGCTCGCCTTGAGCTGAAGAGCTGAGGGACAGCGCCCAGGCCCAGAGTTCAAGCCCCATGACCGATAAAAAAAAAAAAAAGAATCCATCCCATTTGAGAGGTTAAAAAATTATTGCTAAGTAATTAAGCTAATTTTCAAGGCAGTACCCTTTAAGTTTTTATGGCTTTGTTTTAGTATTGGTATAGCTTTGGGCATCCTGTAATACAACAATGCATTTCAAGTGGGATGCATACTAACTTTATGTCCAATAAGTAAATTCACTTTCAGGTTTTTTTCTGACTAGGGCTACTTGTGTTTGTTCCATAGCGGAGGTAAAACGTGTAGGAGATACTCTTTTGGGTATGGCAACACAGTGTGTGCAAGTGAAGAATGTGATAAAGACATCCCCTCAAACTCTCTCAAACTTGTGCCTAAAGATAAATGTTAAACTTGGAGGAATCAATAATATTCTTGTACCTCATCAAAGGTAAGCTCATCACTTAGGGAAATAATTATTTTCATCTTTATTTTTTACATATGACCATATGTGGCTATTGTAAAATCTGTGTTAGAGGCAATCTCAGTGACTCTTGCCATAATATGTGTAGACACTTTTGCCAAAAAGAAAAAAATTTAAAATTTGGAATGGTGAGTTTATGTTGTTTTCCTGTAAATCCTCTCCCTCTACCAATTTTCATTAAGTATGCAACATACCTCTTTCCTAGCCAGAAAGTATCAAGAACTTTCTCTTTCTTTACATTTTTTTATTTGGTAGTTATTAAGCTGTTTCATGAGGCTACTTACCTACCTAGAATATGAGTGTGGAAAGAAATAAGGTCTGGCAGCAGGACAATGTGGCTGATCAAGTAACTTTTTTTCTTTTTGGCAATCTTGAGATTTGAACTCAGGATTTTACACTTGCTCTTTGGCTACTCTACTCCTTGAACCACACCCTCAGCTTTTCACTCTGATTCTTTTTGAAACAGTGTCTCAATTCTTGCCTAGGTTTGGCCGTGATCCTCCTACCTATAGTTCCTGCTGTAGCAGGCACTTTTTATCTTGCCCACCTTTTTCTATTAGGATGGGGCATCCTGAACTTTTTTTGCCCAGTTGGGTCTCAAGTCATGATCCTCCTGGCCTCTGTTTCCCAAGTAGCTATGATTATAGACATGACCCAATATCATCATCTTGAGCACCTTCTTTAAAACTCTTAGGGAATATTCATATATTATGCATATATTATATCACTGAGGAGAGAAGGCTGTTATTTGGAGACTAAACAATAGGTTCCCTTTTCATAGCTGAAGCAAGTAGAACTCAAAAGTTAAATATTTGAGCCAGATGCTGGTGGCTCACACCTGTAATCCTGGCTACTAAGGAAGCTGAGATCTGAAGATCATGGTTCAAAGCCAGCTTGGGCAACAAAGTCCGTGAGACTCTTATCATCAATAAATCATCAGAAAACTGGAAGTGGTGCTGTGGCTCAAGTGGTAGAACACTCTCCTTGAGCCGAAGAGCTGAGGAAAAACGCTCAGGCCCAGAGTTCAAGCCCCCAGGCCAACAACAAAAAAAAAAGTTAAGTATTTGGTGGTGGTTGTTTTTTGGCACCCATCCTAGGGCTTGAACTCAGGCCTAGGCACTATCCCTGAGTTTCAACTAGTTCTCTACCATTTGAGTCACAGCTCCACTTACAGCTTTTTTGGTAATTATTTAGAGATAAGAGTCTCATGGACTTTCCTGCCTAGGCTGGCTTCAAACCACGATCCTCACATCTCAGTCTCCCTAGTAGCTAGGATTACAGGCGTGACCTACCAGCACTTGGCCAAATTAAGTATTTTTACTAGCATGTACCAAAGTTAAGCATTAGAACAGTATTGTCTTTTGGTCCCATTTTTCCAGCCTCTTCTCTCCCTTATGACACTCATAAATATAGAATTTTATCAATACACTCAAGGACTAAGAAACAGTCTCCAGATTTTAAAAGATGGGATTTGGGTTTTGTTTGTTTTGTTTGTTTGGTTGTTTTTTGTTTGTTGTTGTTGTTGTTGTTTGTGCTGGTACAGGGGCTCAAACTCAAGGCCGGAGCTTTTTTACTTCAGGGTAGTCTCTTGAGCCTCAGTTCTGCTTCTGGCTTTTTGTTGGTTAACTGAAGATAGGAATTTTAAAGACTTCCCTGCTCAAATGGGCTCAAACCACAATCTTCAGATCTCAGCCTCCTTAATAGATAGCATTACAGGCATGAGCCACTAGTGCCTGGCTAAAGGATGTAGTTTTTGTTTTTGTGCGGGTTTTTTGGTCAATCGTGGGGCTTGAACTCTGGGCCTGAACACTGTCCCTCAGCTCTTCAGTTCAAGGCAAGTGTTCCACCACTTGAGCCACAGTGCCACTTCAGTTTTCTGGCCATTTATTGAAGAAAAGAGGCTCACGGACTCTCTTTCCTGCCCAGGCTGGCTTTGAACTATGATCCTCTGATCTCAGCCTCCTTAGTAGCTAGGGTTACAGGCATGAGCCACCGACGCCCAGCTAAGGATGTAGTTTTTAAGATAAGTGGAAATATTTAACTACTTTAAGTGTATGTTACTCCAACTTTTCTTCTGGCTAGGGAAAGGAATATAGTGTAGGCTTTCCATGATCACTTTGAATCTAAAGTTTAATGATTCTTTTTTTTTTTGGGTCCGGTCATGGGGCCTGAACTCTGGGCCTGGGTGCTGTCCCTCAGCTCTTCAGCTCAAGGCTAGCGCTCTACCACTTGAGCCACAGCGCCACTTCTGGCTTTTTTCACTTTTGCTTTATGTAGTACTGAGGAATTGAACCCAGGGCCTCATGCATGCAAGGCAAGCGCTCTACCACTGAGCCATTTTCCCAGCCCAGTTTAATGATTCTTTTGAGAGATTATATAGACCTCAATATTTGTTATTTTTAAAAATTGGTGGGTAATATGAATGTGAATAATTTTATTCCAATTACAGAGAATACTAGCATCAGTTGTTCTCTGAAACCCTAGCACCAAGGCTTAAGGCAATAACTAGCTTTCCATAAAAATATCACAGATTGTTTTGACATCTTTTACTTCATTGACCCAGCACTCATAAATTAAATCATTGGAAGTCACTGGACATTGGTGAAAGTAAACTATACAACTTGTGGGTAGAGATGGGAGGGAGGGACTAGAAGAGAGTGAAGGAACAAAAGATACTATACGATAGGAAATGTACTCATTACCTGACCATGTAATTAAAATCCTCTGTACATCACTGCTATAATAATAAAGTAGCTGGGCACCGGTGGCTCACGCCTGTAATCCTAGCTACTCAGGAGGCTGAGATCTGAGGATCACGGTTCAAAGCCAGCCAGGGCAGGAAAGTCTGTGAGACTCTTATCTCCAATAAACCACTAGGAAAAAAAAAACGGAAGTGGCGCTGTGGCTCAAGCGGTAAAGCACTCACCTTGAACTAAAGAGTGTAGGGACAGCACCCAAGCCCAGAGTTTAAGCCCCACAACCAACCAAAGGAAAAAAAAAAAAGACAAAAAAAATAAAGTAAATTAATTTTTTTTTTTTTTTTGTCGGTCGTGGGGCTTGAACTCTGGGCCTGGGCGCTGTCCCTCAGCTCTTCAGCTCAAGGTGAGCACTCTACCACTTGAGCTACAGCACCACTTCCGGTTTTCTGGTGGTTTATTGGAGATAGGAGTCTCACGGTCTCTCCTGCCCGGGCTGGCTTAGAACCGCAATCCTCAGATCTCAGCCTCCTGAGTAGCTAGGATTACAGGCGTGAGCCACCAGCGCCCGGCAAGTAAATTAATTTTTAAAAAGAATAAGTCAGTCAGTAGTTCAGTCATGTACAACTGTTGAGATAAGATTTTCTCTGTGCTGTCAGTGGCCTGCAGTTATGTTGTAATTGTCTAAATCATATAAATGAATGATGAATTATCTAACCTTTTAAAAATTGTATTTAAGACCTTCTGTGTTCCAGCAACCAGTGATCTTTTTGGGAGCAGATGTCACTCACCCACCTGCTGGTGATGGAAAGAAGCCTTCTATTGCTGCTGTGAGTATCCGTAGGCAGATTTATGTTATCTAAGGTTCAGACCAAGGGCTGGACGCATAAAGTGGTAGAATACCTGCCTAGCAAGCACTAGGCTCTGTTGTCTGTCTGTCTGTCTCTGTCTCTCTTTCTCTGTCTCTCTCTGTTTCTGTCTCTGTCTCTCTCTCTCTCTGTACCTGTCCCCCCTCCTCCTCCTTCTTCACTTCTTCTTCCTCCACTTCTTCCTCCTCCATTTCTATCTCCTCCTCCTCCTGTTGAGGGTAGGGTGAGTGTCTTAGGAACTTTTTTGTCCCAGCTGGCCCAGAATTGCAATCCTCTCAATCTCAGCTTCCTAAATAGCTGGAATGACAGCTATGAACCACTGTTCTCAAGAACTTTTTATCCTGGCTGGACTCGAACAAGAATCATCCCAAGTAGCTAGGATTACAGGTGTGAACCACCATACTCATCTTGTTAATCAACTTTAATGAACATTTTTTTGGAACCTTCACAAAGAGTGGTTACTCTGGTATGGCGGGGGCGGGGGGGTTCCCTCAAGTGCCATATATAAATCAAATTTTTTAATTTCCTTACTGAAATCAAAGTCAGATTTCCATTTTTGGAGCATGGCCCTTAATATATGTTACCCTGGAAGAAAGTATAGAAGCAGAGTGGTAAGCTGAGACTGTCACTAGAATAATATTGTCTCCTTTGGTCCAGGCACATAACAATAATAAACAAGGCACAGACTAACAGACTAAGTTTGCCAGTCTCAAAACCAAGGTTGAATTTTAAATTTATTTATGTATTTATTTTATGGTACTAGGGCTTGAAATTAGATTCTTGCATTTGCTAAGCAGGTACTATACCACTTGAGCCATTCTACCAACCCTCTAAGATTGACTTTTCCAAAGATCAGGGGAAGGTATGGAGGCATGGTCCAGGTGGTAGAGCACCAGCCAATGAGCAAAAGCATCAGATACCAAGTTCAAGTCCTGATCTCAAACAAAGACAAAAAAAAATAACCAAAGGTCAGATTTAGAACACTACTACAGCCCACTAAGATTCAGGATGTCTTTTCTAGAACTTTGTAGTAAGGGAGAGAAATTCATGATTTTAAAATTTATGAAGTGGGAATAGGGCTCAGTAGTAGAACCTGTTCCTAGCATGTGGAAGGCCCTGGGTTGAATACTAGCACGACAAAAGTAAAATAAAATTTATATAACATAACTTCTAAGGTGGTGCTGAGATCTTAATGATGATTTCTGGGATGTGTTAACTGAAGTAGAAAAGAAAGGAGTGGTTTGAATTGGTTGCCCCATTGTTCTTAACTCTTTTCTCTTATTCTCATGTGCATGTCTTTTTCTTATCTAACTAATCTTTAGTTCTACCTAAAAGATGTAGAATTCAATTGTTAAATGTAAAGTACCAAACTATTCATAGAAAATTGTTTGTTTTTTTTTTACATGATTCTTGGTCTTTATTCTGTTCTTCACTGGAATTATCTATTGTGATTATTCTGAAAGTAAATAGTGGTAAACAGAAAGGTTATAGTAAACTATAACTATAAGTAAAATTCATCCTGTTTTGATTACTGTTTTTCTTTGTGTTTTCCAACCTAGGTTGTGGGTAGTATGGATGCCCACCCGAGCAGATACTGTGCCACAGTAAGAGTTCAGAGACCCCGACAAGAGATCATACAGGACTTGGCCTCCATGGTCCGGGAACTTCTCATCCAGTTTTATAAGTCAACTCGGTTCAAACCTACTCGTATCATCTTTTATCGGGACGGTGTTTCAGAGGGACAGTTTAGACAGGTTGGTTACCTAGGATCTCTTTAGAGTATGTTCAGATCTAGTGCTGTGCTTTATATGTAGTTCTGCAGTTTAAATAGTAAAATCAAAATTTGATGCTTCTAACATATTTGCTGTTGATATGTAAGCCTCTGCCAAGAGGTAAAGTGAAAAGTATATAGAGCTAAGAAGTATTTAGAGCTAAGGAACTCATTAGATTCAAATTACTATATTATATGATGTAAAAGAGAACAAATGTTAAATCTTTACATTGCCTCTTCTCTAGGTATTATATTATGAACTACTAGCAATTCGAGAAGCCTGCATCAGTTTGGAAAAAGATTATCAACCTGGGATAACCTACATTGTAGTTCAGAAGAGACATCACACTCGATTATTTTGTGCTGATAGGACAGAAAGGGTAAACTTAAAATCTGTTGTAACACTACTGTGCACCACACTTACCCAACATAGTTCATAGAACATTGAACAGGTGTCCTTTGCTACCATCCGAGCTTCCAGTTCTCTCTTTTCTCTGCCTCTCTCCTTTTCCTCCCCCTCTCTTTGCAGTGCTGGGGATTGAAACCATGGCATCTTAGGCAAGCACTCTATAAGGTTAACTGATTTAATCTTCACAGATACTATGAGATAATAATTACTCTTATGCTCATCTTGCACATGAGGAAACTACTATTGCACATAGAGTCTGGCAGGGTGACTGAAATGGTAGACCGCATGCCTAGCAAGAACAAGGCCCTGAGTTCAAACCCCAGAACTGCCAAAGAAAAAAGAAAGAAAAGAGATTAAATAACTTTGGAAGGTGGTTTCACATGCAAGCTGTATGGCTGTGCCACTTCTCTAATAGCAGTAGTAACAGCCTTTAAGTTGTTAACAACTCTGACTCCAAATTAGTAGGTACATTTCTTTTTTTTTTTTTTTATTTTTTTTATTTTTGGGTCTGGTCGTGGGGCCTGAACTCTGGGCCTGGGCGCTGTCCCTCAGCTCTTCAGCTCAAGGCTAGCGCTCTACCACTTGAGCTACAGCGCCACTTCTGGCTTTTTTGTTTTTGCTTATGTGGTGCTGGGGAATCGAACCCAGGGCCTCATGCATGCAAGGCAAGTGCTCTACCACTGAGCCACCTTCCCAGCCCCTAGTAGGTACATTTCTAAACCTAGAAAATCTAAATTAGATTAAGTGATTATGGATATCTGAAATTTAATAATGGCACTCATCCATTTGTTTACTTTTCTCTCACCCTTCTTCTAATATGCTACTAATAATAGATAGAGATTACAGTTCAGGAAACAAAACTGAAACACTATGCCCTAGTCATAAGTAGAAACTGTGATATGAACCTAGGCATTCTTCTGCCAAATAGGTTATAACTATTTTGTTGTGTATTACTAATTGGTGAGAATAGACTTAAGAGTTACATGTCTTCCCTGGCTGGCATCAAACCATGAACCTCCAAAAGTCTCAACCTCCTTCTGAGGCTCCTTCCTACTCCATTTTGGCTGAGTGCAATAGGCACAAACCTGTAATACTAGCTACTTGGGAGATAGAGATAGGAGGATCAAAGTTAAAGGTCAGCCTGGGAAAAAAATTCAGAAGACTCTATCTCAACCAATGGCTGATTATCCCTGCTGCAGAAGAAGCACTGTGGTTGGGCACAGTGGTATGGATCTGTCATCCCCACCATCAAGGGGAAACATAAATTGGAGGATTATAGCTGAGGCTGACTAGGGCATAAATCAAGATCCTACCTCAAAAATGAGCAATACAGAAGGGGGCTGTGAAGTCCCCTTCCTAGCTGTGATAGAATACCTGCCTAACAAGTGTAAGGCCCTGAATTCAATCCAAGTACTTAACCAAAAAATGCTGGCAAAGACTTTCAGCAACATTGAGAAATAGGAATTAGGAGCTGCCATGGTATTTCATTCCTGTAGTTTAAGAACTTAGGAAGATTGGAAGTTCTAGATCAGTCTGGGCTACATAGCAAGACTTTGTCTCAAAAAAAAGGAAGCCAGGTCCTATGTGGAGTTTACTCTCTCTCGCTCTGGCTCACTTTCCCTCTCCCTCCTGCCATCCCTCTTCCCTTCTTCTCTTCCTTCGTCCTGTCCTTTTCCTCTCCCACTCTCTGCTAATCCTATGGCTTGAATTCAGCGTCTGGGCACTGTCCCTGAGCTTTTGTGCTCAAGGCTACCACACTACTCTTAAGCCATATCCTCCCTTCCTCTCCCCTTTCTCCCTCTCCCCTTTTTCTCCCCCCTCCCCTCCCCATTTCTCTCTTTGCCAGTCCTGGGGCCTGAACTCTGGGCCTGGGCACTGTCCCTCAGCTCTTCAGCTTAAGGCTAGTGCTCTTACCACTTGACTACTTGAGCCACAGCACCACTTCCAGCTTTTTCTGCTTATGTGGTGCTAAGGAATCAAACCCAGGACCTCATGCATGCAAGGCAAGCATTCTACCACTGAGCCACCTTCCCAGCCCCTCTCTCCCTCTTCTTGTCTTTTTCCATCTCCCACTCTCCGCTAATCCTATGGCTTGAATTCAGGGCCTGAGCACTGTCCCTGAGCTTTTGTGCTCAAAGCTAGCACACTACCACTTAAGCCATACCTTCACTTTGGCTTTGTGTGTGTATATGGTTAATTGGAGATAAGAGCCCCAGATTTTCCTGCCTCTGTTATCTTTGAACTGCTATCCTCAGATTTTAGCCTCCTAAGTAGCTAGGCTTACAAGTATGAGCCACCAGCACCCACCTTTATAGAGTGCACCCACCTTTATAGAGTCTGCTCTGAATGACAGCTTAAGCAATAGTAGTTCAAGATGAAAGTTGGTGGTTAATTGGAGATGAGAGTCTCACAGACGTTCCTGCCCAGGCTGGCTTCAAATAGTGATCCTCATATCTCAGCCTCCTGAGTAGCTATGATTACAAGCTTGAGCCACCAGCACCTGACATTTATACATTTTTAATGTACTTTCAGATGCATTATTCATCTTTGTCTTGTTTGTTTAAACTTTGACTAAAAAAAAAAATCTAGGTTGGAAGAAGTGGCAATATCCCAGCTGGAACAACTGTTGACACAGACATTACACACCCATATGAGTTTGATTTTTACCTCTGTAGCCATGCTGGAATACAGGTAAGTCTATACTGTGGTTGAAATGTTTTAATTCAATTCTTATAGGTCATATACTTAAAATCTCACACAAAGGCCAAGAAATACTCTTTCTGCCTGCCAAGTTATTTCTTTTTTGTTGTTGTTGTTATGGGTTATGGGTTTGAACTCAGGGCCTGGGTACATTCCCTGCATTCTTTTGTTCAAGGCTAGCACTCTACCACGTTGAGCCACAGCTCCACTTCTGCTTTTTTAGTGGTTAATTGGAGATAAGAGTCTCAGGCAGAAAAGTGATCCTCATATCCAGCCTCCTGAGTAGCTAGGATTACAGGAGTGAGCCACAGGCACCTGGCCCAAGTTTTTCTGTATGAAACTTTCAGTAAATAAATTTCTTCCTTTCCCTTACTTTGAGGGCTTTTTTTTTTTTTTTTTGTCGGTCATGGGGCTTGAACTCTGGGCCTGGGCGCTGTCCCTCAGCTCTTCAGCTCAAGGTGAGCACTCTACCACTTGAGCTGCAGCGCCACTTCCGGTTTTCTGGTAGTTTATTGGAGATAAGAGTCTCACAGTCTCTCCTGCCTGGGCTGGCTTTGAACCGCGATCCTCAGATCTCAGCCTCCTGAGTAGCTAGGATTACAGGCGTGAGCCACCAGTGCCCGGCGAGGGCTTATTTTTATAAAAATGCCAGAGTATAATTAGATCAATAGCCTGAACCTCTCTAAAATGGGCCCTTCAATTAATCCAAACATGGTTTGTTTTTGTTTTGTGCCCATTCTGGGGTTTGATCTCAGGGCCTGATCCCTGTCCCTGAGCTTCTTTTGCTTAACGATAGCACTCTACCACTTGAGCCACAGCTTCACTGCCTGCTTTTTTGATAATTTATTGGAGATAAGTGTCTCACAGACTTTCCTTCTTGAGCTGGCTTCAAATCACAATCCTTATTTCTCAGCCTCCTGAGATGTGAGCCAATGGTGCCTGGCCCAAACTGTTTTGTTGTTGTTGTGTTGTTTTGTCAGTCATGGGGGCTGAACTCTGGGCCTGGGCACTGTCCCTCAGCTCTTCACCTCAAAGCTAGCACTCTATCACTTGAGCCACAGTGCCACTTCCGGCCTTTTATGCTTATGTGGTGCTGAGGAATCGAACCCAGGGCCTCATACATGCAAGGCAAGTACTCTACCACTAATCCACCTTCCCAGCCCCCAAAAACTGTTTTTGAAAACAATGTAAAGTAGCCTCCTATTTTTAGGAAATCTTAATTTTAAATTCATTTATTTTTGTTGTAGACTGATGTACTGGGGCTTGAACTCAGGGCCTCATGCTTGCTAGTCAGGTGCTCTACCACTTGAGCCATGCCTCCAATTCTAATATATACTTCTTTTGATAATACTTCATACAAACCTTAGACATGTAGTGGTAAGATATTGAATATAAAAGAGTGCAATTGTAGAAAATATTTTCATTAATTTGCTCACTTTATTTGGTAGACTATAAACTTTAATTCATAATGGTTCTTGCAGCAGCAGCAGAGAATAAACCCACATTCCCAAGATATCTAAGCAGGTATAACCCATACTTGCCACTTATTAAAATAGAAATTTCAAGAAGATAAACCCATATACACTGACAGACTGACAGCTTTAAATTTTCAGACTCATAGCTTTAAAATATTGCGTGCTCATTTACTTATGACATTGTAAGTCTGTGTGATACTGGGGTTTGAACTTGGAGCCTTGCTCTTGCTAAGCTAACCACGCTCTAACCCTTTTTTAAGCTTGTTATTTTTGAGATAGGTATTGCTGCCTGTCCACGCACATACATCTACATCTGTCTGTTTTAGCTGGGATGACATATGCATGCCACCATGCCCAGTTTCTTTCCATTTAGATGAAGTCTTGAATAGATTTCTGCTTGTACTGTCCTATAACTTGATCCCCTCCTTCTCATAGTAAAGATTATATGTGTGAGCCAGCAGTGCCCCATTTGCTGTAGGGGTTTTTCTAGAGCTTAGCAGCATGATTTTCAGATTGTTCTGGCAGACTGCACAGAAAGCAGAATGGTCCTGTCATCATGCAGGGCTGACCATTTGTCCTTAAGTATATCCTGGTATTGTTACCTTGGATATCCACATAGGGATGGTAGCAAGGTGTGGGGAACTTCACTGTGGGGACATTGTAAAGGTAACCATTGGAGAACTCCAGGAAGAGCTTATATGTCAGGCCTTCATTTACTGTACAGCTGCTCCATGAGTAGACCCTACCCATTTGAAAAGGTTAGCTGGTTCAGTGCAGGCAGAAATTCCTTTGCAACCAGACATCATGAGAGTCATGTGCTCCAGCTTTTAGCCTCTTGCCAGCAAGGCCCTGGATAGCTTCCCCTATTCAGCTCAGTCCCCTTCGAGGGCACCTAGGTCACAATTCGAGTCAGCCATCTAGGTAGGCTTGGAAGGAAAACTGCAGCTGTCCAGCACTTGGGGAAGGGGTTTTGTTTATTTTATTTCATTTTTTTTGTCAGTCATGGGGCTTGAACTCTGGACCTAGGCGCTGTTCCTCAGCTCTTCAGCTCAAGGATAGCACTCTGAAGAGGGGAAAGCATTCTACCATTGACCTACCTTCCCAGCCCTAGCACTTCGGTTTTTAAGACAACATTTTTCTAGGTAGCTCAGACTAGCCTTGAACTCACTGTGTACCTTAGGTTGGCCTCCAACCTAAAGTGTACCACCACACCTGGCAATTTACCATTTTAACCATTGTTAAGCCTACCAACTCCCTACTCCCTCCTACCCTCACCTCAGCTCCTGGCAGCCAATGTTACTTCCTGCCACTATAAAAAGGTACCTTGGAAGTGGCGCCATAGCTCAAGTGGTAGAGCGCTTGCCTTGAGTTGAAGAGCTGGAGGACAACGCCCAGGCCAAGAGTTCAAGCCCCACGACCGAAAAAAAAAAAAAAAAAACTATAAAAAGGTACCTTGCTACTCAGGGGGTTGAGATCTGAGAATTGTGGTTCAAAGCCAGCCCAGGCAGGAAAGTACTTGAGGCCCTTACCTCCAATTAATCACCAAAAAAAAACAAAAAAAAAAAACTAATGGAGTTGTGGCTCAAGTGATAGAGCTAGACTAGCCTTGAGCTAAAAATGTAGCTCAGGAACAGCCAGGCCCCAGTGGCTCACGCCTGTAATCCTAGCTATTCAGGAGGTTGAGATCTGAGGATCATGGTTCAAAGCCAGCCTGGGCTGGAAACTCTGGGAGACTCTTATCTCCAATAAACCGCTCAGAAAACGGGAAGTGGCACTATGGCTCAAGCGGTAGAGTGCCGTAGAGTGCTCGCCTTGAGCTGAAGAGCACAGGGATAACGCCCAAGCCCAGAGTTCAAGCCCCACGACTGACAAAAAAAAAAAGGGGGGGTCTCATAATATTTGTCCTTTTATAAGTGGTTTATTCCATTTAGCATAATACCTTCAAGTTGAGTAATATTCCATTCATCCATTAGTGGGCACTTAGGATATATCCTCCTCTTGGTTATAATGTCCAAATTATCTGCTTTTACTCTTTTTGTGGTATATACCAGAATCAGCTGAATTTTAAATTTATTTTCTAATTAATAGAGAGCTTTCATATATAACTTTTAAGTCTATGCTGAAAATTCATTTAAGAGTTTAGCTATCAACAGAATATTCCATTAACTTCACAGGGTACCAGCCGTCCTTCCCACTACCATGTTTTATGGGATGATAACTGCTTTACTGCAGATGAACTTCAGCTGCTCACTTACCAGCTCTGTCACACCTATGTTCGCTGTACACGATCTGTTTCCATACCTGCACCAGCGTATTATGCTCACTTGGTGGCATTCAGAGCCAGATATCATCTCGTGGACAAAGAACATGACAGGTGATATGAAAGCATAACAATACCAATTTTTAGCCAACTTCAAATGTGCTCTGATTTTCTCAGGAAATTTCCGTAAGCACTTCCACATTAAAGTTAAATTATTGGAGGAATTAGTGCATCATATGAAAAGTGATTAGAGCTGACTGCTAGAGTTGTGATGCTTTATTCAAATATGCTGGGTAATAATGAAGTTTTATTTAGAAAAAAAAATACCATTTACAGGAAAACAAATAGAACTGGGAATTACCATGGTAAGTAAAATAAGCCAGACCCAGACATATATCACCATATCTTTATATGATAAATATAGGAAATAAAAATTAAGACCTGAAGCCAGGCGTTGTTGGCTCATGTCTATAATCCTAGTTACTCCAGAGGCTGAGATCTGAGGATTATGGTTCAAAGCCAGCCCTGAGAGAAAAGTCCCAAGACACTATAATCTCCAATTTAGCCACCAAAAAAATCTGGAAATGGACCTGTGGTTCAAGTGGTAGTGCTAACCTTGAGCAGAAAAGCTCAGGGACAGTGCCTCCAGGCCTGAGTTCAAGCCCTAGTACTGGCACCCAAATTAAAAAAAAAAAAAACAGAAAGAAAGAAAGAAAGAGGAGTGTTAAATTCTGAAAGTTTTTTTTGTGCCTGTATAGAGACGAACTCAGGACCATGCTCTTGCTCAGCTTTTTCTCTCACAGCTGGCACACTTCCACTTGAGCCATGCCTCCAGTTGTAACTTTTTGCTAGGTAATTGGACATAAGAGACTCCTGAGTAGCTAGGATTACAGATGTGAACCACCAGTGCTCCAGCTTGAGTTAGTTATTGAAGCTATGTGATAGACACATACTTCATTATACTGGTATGAATTTTCTAATTTTTTAAAATTTCTACAATACGTAACAGTTTTCAGAATCTTTGCATCAGAATAAATTTGTTTATTGCTACTTTTCTTACAGTGCTGAAGGAAGCCACGTTTCAGGACAGAGTAATGGACGAGATCCACAAGCTCTTGCCAAGGCTGTACAGATTCACCAAGATACCTTACGCACAATGTACTTTGCTTAACATAAGTCCAAGTGTGTCTGGGAAGAAGCACTGAAAGATGAGTCATTGTACAGCCTACGTTGCCAGTGAGGTTGGTTCAGTAGGGATGCCTCTAACTGTGTAGTGGCCACCACCGTGGGAGGTCTGGTCCTTCTATTGATCCAAGGAAGATTGTTTACTTCATTGAGGAACGCAGCACATATTTATGCAATATGAACCCAGCCAGCTGCTTTATTGTGCAGTCTCCTGTAGGAAGTATTACAATTGTTTCATTTTCACTTCTGATAGTCTAACCCTTTTAATGCCTTTACCTCAAGTTGCTTGGCAGCACAACTATCTTTGCAAAAAAAAAAAAAAAAAGGAAAGAGAAGTTTAAAAAACACATACATGAATGAATAACCAGAGTAATTGTTGACTATTATATGTGTGCAAAAAAAGTGCACTCATATATTATAAAAAGAGTCTGTATTTTTAAATGTGTACATGCATACTTCATATGCATACATATCTGGAACTAGACTCATGACCTACATGTGTATCTGTGTATATATTTTATGATTCATTCCAGTGGGGAACTTCATTTCTGTTTTATTTTCCCTTTACTACCACTTATATCTCTCTCTATCGCCTTCCTCATCTACATTTTTTCCCTTCATGCTACTGTGACATTCAAGTGTTTTATACACATAGTTTGTTTGAATGTGACGCACAGCGAACTAGACTAGTGTTTTGAGATTGCACACCTGTCTCCTGTCTCAGTCCTCAGCTCCGTCTTATGTGAGTGTGTCTGCTCTTTCCTGCTGTGGACTTACATTTCCATGTGTGCAATGTGTACATAAGCAGTAGCAATCTAAATTATTATTTTCTTTAGTGAATTTGTTAAAGCTGCTATAAATATAAAACCTTGTCAGAAGTTGTAACTCAGATAGAGAAATCCCTTAAAGCTTTTTTTTTTTTTAATAAAGGGCAAACATTTTAAAAGATTGGAATTCTTAGGTTGAGGCCTCCAAAATTGTGTGAAGAAAGAAAAAGATTCTTGGGAGGAGGGGGTACTAACTTTTATTTTTGCTAGTTTACTTACTGCCTCTCATGTTTTAATGTGATTTTCATATATATATTTTTATATATATGTGTGTATATATAAACATATATGTATGCATTTTGAAGTATAACTTTTCTTTTATATTTGTTAGAATAGTGCTTTAAAAAACAAAACTGTATTGGCTACATCTTCAGTCTTACAGGAAAGCTGGGTCTGTCTGACATCCTAGCCACAGGCAGTAGGCAAAACCTCCACCTCCATCACTTTAAAAGGGCAAAGTACTACAGCCTTAATTTTAAAAGGAAAGTTTCTTGATTTTTAGTTTTAATATGTCTTTTAAAAAATCATAATGAAGCAAAATTGAATGAGTCTCATCTTGAAGGTCACAGTTATATTTCAATTAAGAAATGATATAACAGTTTGAGATTTAAAAGATTATCAAATTATGTGAAAATAGAATCATGTTTATTGAAGAACCATACTGATTATTTTCATTTTACTAAAAGGAATCAGGAAAATACAGGATTGTACTTTTAAAAGGCTTTTGTTTTTGCTTTTGCTCACTTATTACCAGTGTTAACTTTCTTTTTAAAATTAAAGTAAAGCTGGGCACCAGTGGCTCATGCCTATAATCCTAGCTACTCAGGAGGCTGAGATATCAGGATTGAGGTTCAAAGCCAGCCTGGGCAGGCAAGTTGGTGAGACTCTTATCTCCAATAAACCACCAGAATATGGGAAGTGGAGCTGTGGTTCAAGTAGTAGAGTGCTCACCTTGGGCTGAAGAGCTCAGGTACAGCACCCAGGCCCAGAGTTCATGCCCCACAGCCAACCAAAAATAAATAAATAAATAAAAGTAAAGTAATAGTTATAAAGGAAGTTAGGACTTTGATCTTTTAAGTTGGTTAAATCATAGAAACATAGGAAAACTTTTTCTGTATTGATTTATTTGATCAACTTTCGTTAATATCTTCAAGATGTTAAAAAGTACTATAAAGCTGTCAAAAACAGGTTTATTGATAACATTGGATTCAGGTGAGCAATTGCACTTTGTAACTCAAGAAAATTGCATGTCAAATTTTCTGTTTGAGGTTTTGCTGTTTTAAGCACTGGTTTAGAGTAGAGACACTACAAACTGTTTCCAAAGGGCGTTGTTATCCTTTCAGAATTCCATCTACACATGAAAACTACAGGACTTAGATCTTTTGTTTTTCTTTTACTTGTAATTCACTGTTATTGCCAACTTACTGTATGTTGAGCCTAAAATCTGAGCCCATGTCCTCCAACAGGCATGAAATCTTTTGTTCCTCTGCCAGAAAACTAAGAAAGTACTGTATTTCATGTTTATTATTTTGAAGCATCTGAAATGTAATTTACAACACTGTTTTCAAAGCACTTTACAAAAGATACTTGTATAGTACATACTTTTTTTTTCTTTCATATTCCTCTACTACCAAAAAAAAAATCCTTTAAAAATGTTTGGGGGTTGTTTTTGAGACAGTCTTACTATGTAGTGAAGAGGTTGGCTTCAAACTACCTGGCTGAAGCAGGCCTCTTACCTCAGCCTCCCCAGCTGGGACACCAGCATTCATGGCTCAGTTTGTTGTTTTCAACATTGAAATTTCACTGATTTTGGTCAGGAACATAGACAAAAGAAGAAATAGCATGCATATATATATATATATATATATATATTCTAGAAGGTAAAATCTTGACTGAGGAGCTGGATGTTGTAGTGAATGCTTGTTAATTCAGCTTCTTGAGAAGCTGAGTTAGGAGGATCATGGTTCAAAGCCAGCCCAAGCAAAAGTTAGGGAGACTATCTCAAAAACAAACTCAGCATGTTGGTATATGCCTTTAAACCCAGCTACTGAAGAGGTGGAGTTCTGAGGATGATGGCCAAAGGCCTGCCTAGGAAAAGCACAAGACCCTGTCTAGAAAACAAACTAAAAAAAGACTGGGGCATGGTTCAAGTAGTATAATGCTTACCTAGTAAGTGCAAAGCCCTGAGTTCAACCCCAAATACCACAAAAAAAAAAAAAACCTTTATTGATCTATGCTTGCTCAGTAGAAATCTTCCTTAGGGAACAACTACGAGTTCCCTTTGTCTTATTTACTTTGCTGCCTCATGTTCAGTCATTGGAACACTCATATGCTAAAGCAAAAACCTTACTTAATCTGACTCTACTTGGAAGGACTTTTTTAACAGAAAAATATTTTTCTAAAGCTTTACCATTTGAGTAGCTTCTTTTTTAGAATGCTCCTACACTACACAGCATTGCTAGCTTAAGGTTAATTACTGAAAGAATATGCATAGTATATTTCTATTTTGTTTATTAATGAATTGATATATCAACCTTAATTACAAGGAACCTTGTGCTTGGAATTTTAAGATAATAAGTGGGCAGATACTTCTTGAAATTTGTTCTAATCATTTTTGCATTCCTGGGCAGAATTCCCAATCTTTTATTTTTCTAATGGAAACTTTTGTTGCTGTTATCATTTAAATATCATTAAACTATCAGTATCTTTTATACCCCTCCCTTGCTCACTAGCAAGATGATGAATGCTATACTTTGCCCTCCTGTTTTTTATGATGTGTCTCATAGAGTGATTTTAAAATGTCAATCTGAGCAACTGGCATAAATGATTTTCATATGAAGAAGAGTTGGGAGTTGGCAAATGTGTCTGGTATGTGTGACTGTATTACAGTATCCAGTTACTGGCACTGAGAGCCATACACATAGAATTCTATAGCTGCTATATTTATGTAAGTAGCATCTGACAGCTGCTGCACTAAACAATAAGGAGATGAACAGGATTAGACCCTTTTTGTTGTTTTGTTTTTCTAGATAAGATGATGCAAGTGAAATATCAAGATAACAAAGGGTGCTGCCATTTTAGTTTAAATTTAATTTCCAAATATCCTTTGTTTTAGTCATGTAGGTTTTGTCTTCTACAGTTTAAAAAAGTGTACCTCAACCTCCTTGGTACTTTCATTGTCTTAATAGTTACCTTTTAACAGGTTTCGGGGAAAAACTATTCTGTGGAAATATCCCTGTTTGTGACCTATTTATTTTTCTTCCTAAAAGTTTCTGGTGGAATGTTCTAGGTGTTTCAGAAGGCATTTGATAAAGATTCATCTAGTTTTCCAAGCAAGGTTCTCACATCGACCTCACATCGACATACATAGTCCCTGCTTAAGCCAAGCACCGGTGGCTCATGCCTGTAATCCTAGCTACTCAGGAGGCTGAGATCTGAGAATCAACGGTTCAAAGCCAGCCCCAGTAGGAAAGTCTGTGAGACTCTTATTTCCAATAAACCACTAGAAAACCAGAAGTGGCACTGTGGCTCAAGCAGTAGAGCGCTTGCCTTGAGCTAAAGAGCTCAGGGACAGCGCCCAAGCCCAGAATTCAAGCCCCATGACCAAAAAAAAAAAAAAAAACCCAAAACATAGTCCCTGCTTAGCAAGCACAAGTATATGCATTATACAGTCTTGAGTTCAAAGCCAGCCTGGACTGGTCTAATGGATCTTAAGAGTCTTGGCAGATGCAAAGCCTGTGAAGGGAAATAAAAGCTGAGCTGCTGTTGAGTAAAAAAGACTAGCAAAGGAAAGGGTGAGCAGTTGAAGTACCAGCAATAGATCTTAAATCCAGAACAGACACTTAGCCAACAAATGAGGTGGGTCTTTTCAAAGGCCCATGTGACTTTGCGCAGGGCAGTGACTGGACATGATTAGAGTATTGTGTATTCTTCCTATTTCAAACCTCAGTGATAATGTTTTGCTAAGTGTAACTGCTGACTCGCATAATTTTCATTCAGTATCATTAAGCCTGACTAAATATTTGCTTAGCTCATCCTCTTAGGTGTTCTTCTATTTCAGAGAAAGGTCTTGCTTACCAGTGCCTTGTACTTAATTACCATTTATGAATTAGTCAAGTTGCAAAAGGTATTGTTACATCATTTTTCTGACATTTTTATGCCACCTTGTTTATCCATTGGAAGTGTTAGTCCTTTTCATTCTTTGTTAAGCTTTGTTTATAGCTTAAAGCACCAATATTAATAGTTAGAGGACTTCAACTGATAACCTTTCTGAGTGGCATATGACCTTGGTATAGGGTGTGTCTTTGTTATTTCTATTTCCTTTCCATTGTCCATCACTTTTGTGATTCTAGGCACCAAAAAATAAGCCAAGAATAGATATGTAAAAGTCAATGAAGAAAAGAAAGAGAAATAAACATAGTGGTAAAAGTCTGTAATCCCAGCACATAGGAGACTGAGGCAGGACATTCTTGAGTTCAAAGCCAACCTGGACTAGAAACCTATGTCAAGAAAGAAGCTAGGTGTGATGGTTCATACCTGTAATCCCAGCTACTCAGAAGACAAATATTGGGAGGATCATAATTCCAGGGACAACCTGGGGAAAAAGTTAGCAAGACCCCATATCAACCAATAACTGGCCCTGGTGGTGTATACCTGTCATCCAAGCTACCAAGAAAAAGTAAATAAGAGGATCATGATCCAGGTCAGCCCAGGCAAAATGTGAAGCAAATAAAGCAAAAAGGGTGTAGTAAAATGGTAAAGTCCTTGTTTAGCAAGCACAAGTTCAAGCCCAAGTAACAAGGAAAAAGGGGGAGTGGGAAGGAAGGAATTTTTTACTTTTTTCCTGTTTCTAAAAATACTGTATTCTGCTTATAGTTTTTTTTATGTCAGTCAATATGTTTTTTAATTGTCAAGGCTTCTTCCTGTTAATAATTAGTATTGCGAGTTGAAATTGGCCATAAAAAGTACTCTAGTTTTTTATTAACCCTGTTATCTGTCCCAGACTATTTAAAAATAATATTCACATAATTGAAATTATCTATTTCTTCCAGTTGATGCTTAATTTACTTTAATAAACTTCAGAATTGTTCCATTTTTTAAAAAAAACAGTGTACTAGCTGGGAACCAGTGGCTCACAGCTTTAATCCTAGCTATTCAGGAGGCTGAGATCTGAGGATCACTGGAACCAATCCAGGCAGGAAAGTCTGTGAGACTCTTATCTCCATTAACCACCAAAAGGCCAAAAGTAAAACTGTGGCTCCAGTAATAGAGCAGCACTAGTCTTGAACACAAAGGCTCAGAGACAACACCCAGGCCCTAAGTTAAAGCCCTAAGACCAGCACAAAATAATAATAATAATGGGAACTGCGCTGTGGCTCAGGTGGTAGAGCACTAGCCTTGAGCTGAAGAACTGAGGGACAGTGACCAGGCCCAGAGTTCAAGCCCCACAACCTACAAAAAAAAAAAAAAAGAATGCTCTAGATTTTACATTGTTGATGAAATCTTAAGAATCTTTTGTTCTTATAGCATGGAAGTTAAAGTTTTTTAATTTTATTTTACTGTAAAGATGTTGTACAGAGGGGTTACAGTTACATGAATAAGGCAATGAGCATATTACTTGTCGATCATTGTTACCCCTTGTTATTGTCCCAATATCCTTTCCCTCCTCTTCTCCCTCCCCCCCAAGTTAAAGATTTTAATTGGAATTAAAAATAGAATGATATAGTTAACATGGAGGGTTAAGAATTTACCAATGAAAATCCCTGTTGAAATACC